TAAGTTAAGACACTTCCTGTCAGACCCATGTACAAAATTGATAGGAGGGGGGGCGGGGTCCAAAAATCGTATACTAGGAAATTACCCCCCTTTCCCCCCAATACGCACCTAAACCCCCATCATAGAAAAAATGTTTTATATTATCAAATTATCACCTAAATCCAGTGGAACCTGAGTTTGTAGTCCCACCGAAACTGAACGCCATTTTTGTCTGAAAAGAAAAGAAATATAACCACTTGTTTAATATTACAAGTATTTCTTAAAACTTTACTTTTAATAAAAATATTTCCTAGGTCGCCCTAATAAAAAACTTCAGAAAACAATTTCCTAAATATTCACTAAGCTCTTTTTTCCCTTTCACAGCAAAACATTGTTAAAAAAGTTTTCAAACTTAAATAAATACAACGATACCTTCCCAACGAACACTTTTTCGAAATAAAAATTAACAATGAGCAAGTACCGCGTTTATTTCTTGAAAAGTCGTCTTCCAAAATAACGTTCTATCGAAACTACGGTTTTCCGCTCTACTTACTCTACAAAGACTTTTTTAAAATTAGGATAGGCTACAAACACTCTACACTCTACACTCTATACTCTACACTCTGAACTCTACACTCTACAATCTACACTCTACACTCTACACTCTACACTCTACACTCTACGTACACTCTACACTCTACACTCTACACACTACACTCTACACTCTATACTACAGCTTGATATCCAGAAAACTGTAGAATATGAAGACGACATTAAAGCAATAATAAATTACATTTGATGTTGTTATAAAGCAAATAGCTTTACTAATTATTTAGTAAAAAACTTTTTAAGTAAAATGGGTCTGTTTAAACTGCACAAATGCTGTGTCTCAAGCTCGTTGGCCTATTTAAAGTCATAAATTAAGTTCAAAAGTCGAATTCCTATTCCAGAGTTTTCTGGTTATTCCTGTAGTACTACAGTAAAAGCCAAAAAACAATAGAATGGGAAGACGACATATAATTGTAATCATATATCAGATTAAATAAATTTACTGGACACTTATTAAATCACAAATTTAGTAAAATGGGTCTGTTTACCCAGCACAATTGTTGTGTCTCATTCTCAACGGATTACAACTTGATTCTAAAATTTGTCTACCTATTTTAGAGTTTTCTTGTTATCACGTGATATACACTGATACAGTACAGTATCAGTGTATACACTCGACACTCTACAATTTATACTTTACCTTTCCACCTTCCACTCTACATAGCCGGAATTAAAGTTAAAGGAGCGTCCAATATCATTTTAGATTATCTCCGAGCTTTAACTCCAAAATACGCACATAATACTCGAAAAACCTAGTATTTCTGCAAGAAAACCTCTATAAAAAACCTTTTACATTTTTAAAAATTGATTCATTGTTTTTAAATTTTCTGATTAGTCCCAAAATCCCAATTTTGAGCTGTATACACGATCTAAGATGTTATATGCATTCCTTCTGACAGATATGTCGTTTATCTCAGATTGACACGTAAGAGAAAGTAAAGAACGAAACAAATGTCTCAGTAGGAATATAGCATTTATTTTCTTTTTTCCATAACAAAAGAACGGGTTGGGAACATAATGAACATCGTTTAAGGGGAAACAAAAAAATATTTGACAGGAAACAAAAAAATAAAAAATAAACTTTTCCTTTTTAATTTATTAAGTATCAATATATATGATTTCAACAAAACATTGTTCATGGTATAAGCATAATATCAAGTGACCCGCCATGCAAAAATGGTATATTGCCCGATTCACAACGGTACCTTTGAAAAATTTATATGATCAATAATGTGTATGAGATACTGTCGCTTTTCTAAGTTTAAAAAGTGTTTATTTCTGATAATTCCAATAGAGTTTCCTGCCGTAGAAATGTGCATTGTGCAAGTCACTTTTGTAGAGAACCACATTTGAAAATAATTAGTTCTCAAAATTATAGACATTTTAATATCTGATCAGACAAAGCTTTTAAAGAATCTTACATCACAATACAATTTTT